TTCTATGGATAAATATATTTTCTCTGTTTCATGCTCTCATAGAATGTTCCATTTATCTTCCAACCACAAGCTGGCCACTCCCCAGAATTTTGTATATAAGGAGCTTTGTTTTTCCTCTTCATTTGTTCCTCATCAGATCCTGCCCCAGCAATCCAGATAACTGATCACCCATTATTAGCCAGGTATTTGCCCATCAACATTTGGGATACCTTGATTTGTGAACAAGTATATTTAGACTAGTAAACATAAGAAACATTAGACATACCATCCTCAAGAAATCTCCAAAGCCACACCTTTCCTTAAGAGTCCATACTCTTATATTTTCTTGTTATCAGAGAGGCAGCCCATTAAAGCATCCATCCCTCTCAAGCTCTATTCATCCCAAGAGTAGTTCCACAGCAACAACTCAATCTATGAAACGACAGATCAGAAACAAACCACAACCCAGTCCAAAGAAGCCTCTCGAAAACCAGCCTCCGCGACCCAGACGGTGGACCTTGGTGTGAGCAATGTCACCCAAACGCTTGACCCTAATGTGAGCAATCTCGCCCAGACGGTCGACCCTAATCTGACAACAACGACTGGCCAGACGCTCTTCGACACGGGCCAGAACAATACCTCGGGCCTGCTTTGTAAAGCTTCTTCTACAATCGGATCCGGCGATCTCGACGGCCATTCAGGTAACCAGATCCAGTTCACAGACCTCTTCAAATGGGGTATCATCCAACTTGACCTTTCCGATAACGAAGGAAGATTGACTGGGATCAATGGATATCAAGTCGCTTGGGACCGGTGCAGCTCGACCGTAAGTGTAACCCTGATCGATGATGCCTTTTTTTTCTCCCCTTACTTACATACCATCCATCAAGAGGATCCGAAATATTCACATTTTTTTCTCACTTTATTCTTTTGTGTGTGTGTGTGTTTAGCCATACCCGTTCTCTAAAGCTCGGAAGATTGTGATCCCCTATGATGATACAATTTCAATCAGCATCAAGGCCTTGTATGCGTTGGCCGCTCCGATCGGCGGGGTCGGGTTCTGGGACATGACCGGCGATCATCACTCCATGCTCGTCGACTCTGCTTGCAAAAATCTCGCCAAGTTTGATTGAGGCTGCGATATTCCTCCTTCTTTGCAATTCTCGCCCACAACCTCCTTTTTTCATCCTGCGTATTTGGGATACAATAATGTGGCTCTTGAGTGCTTGGGTCCACTTGCTTTACTTATATACCTCTTGGAGATCACTCCTCTTCTTGGTAACACAAGTCATCAATTTGTTCTTTCCCTTTTTTTTGCCTCTTTTTTCTTTTTCTTTTTTGGATTCAACACTGTTTGTTTCATTCTTCATATTTAGTCCCTAGTGTTTGT